TGTGGAGAAAAAAAATCTATTCAGATGCAGCAGGCAGAAGACAAAAAATTTGTATTGTGTAAGCTCAATCTGACCAGAAACAAATTCAAGTGTTACTAAATCACGAAAAGAACATTGTTACTGCTTTTTAACAGTCTTAAATCCCCAAAGACCTTGAATTAAAACAAATTATATTTTACTGTGCACAAATTAATGAAGCCAAAAATTATAAAGTGAATCTAAAAAATACAGTGAACGAGGACATTAAGCTGAATACAATTTTTAAATAATGTTTTAAAATGTCTTTGTTCACTCAAATTTAAATAACATATTTCAGCAACAAAATCTGAAATATAACTGTTGCATAAATTAAGTTTCTTGTGCTCAAATATCATTTAAAAAAGCTTATATTTCAGGTTGGTCCAGCCAGTGTGCAAGTGTAGTCCTAAATATGCCTGTCAGGACACTGACTGTTTCTATGGCAACAGGAGTGTATTCAGTCTATTCAGTGAGACTTGATGACTTCAGTTCATGATTGGCTCTTTTATTTAGCAGGCGGGACATATTCCACCATATTGAATGTCATATTACATATGTTATATTACATACATACATTTCATTTTTTTTAGCATCATTACTCCAGTCTTCAGTGTCACATAATGCTTCATAAATCATTCTAATATGCTGATTTTCTACTCTACTATTTTCTACTATGAAAACAGTCCCCCCGCCCAGAATTCTTTGATGAATGGAAAGTTCAAGAGAACAGCACTTATTTAAAATGGAAATTGTTTTTAAAGTCAATTTTGGTCAATTTAATGCATCCTTGATGAATAAAAGTATTTTCTTTAAACCATATAGATTAACATACAAATAATATAGCTTTTTTTTGTTTTGTTTACTTCTCATCTATACATTAAAGCTGTGTTTTGGGAGATATTAAGTACTTTTGTACCTATTTACCACAAAATTCCTCAACTACACCAATAGCTTGCATATGAAATATCACATTTTTATAAAAAAAATCACTTAAATGATGATCTAAATTTGATTTAAAGGATTTAATTGGTTTAAATTGATTTAATATCATTGCGCCTGCTGCCCCCATGGTACAGCAGCAAAGTTCCTTGATTATTACGCCGGAATGAAAGTATAGTTCCTAGCCATATCGGCTAGGAACTATACTATCTATATGTACTGTAGTTACATCATGTACTAAGACCGACGGAAAATGAAAAGTTGTGATTTTCTAGGCCGATATGGCTAGGAACTATACTCTCAACCGTACCATGGGTGCAGCAGGCGCAATGATATTACGCAGCACCTGAAAGTAGGCTAATTGGACGTTACCTAGCTGGGATTATTTTCAGGCGCTGCGTAATATCATGTGAGTGAGTATGTCTTTTCTACATTGCATTTGTGCTCTCGTACCAGGCCTTCATTTATGTGTGGAAATTTTCAGATTTATGCTGGATTTATTGATTTTTTGACAAATTTAAAAAAATATAGAGATTTTTCTGCATTTCCCATTCATTTTCAATTGGGGTCATATTGACCGCAAAGACCAGATTTGTAAAAAAAATAAATAAAAATTTACATACCTTCAGAACAACCGAATCAAGCCCAATTTTTTTATGTGAATACAGTTAGAAAATGTTGAAAAGTCACAAAATCTTATTCCACTTAGATGAGTCCACTTACATGTCGGAACATGCCAAAACTTCAAAAGAATAACAAAAGGCAGAAGGTAAGTGCAGTTTACGATAATGTTTCAGTATAATTATATTTATAAATGTTGAAACACAGGTCACAAAACATGACAACATGACTGACAACAGTTTATCTAATAACATT